GGGCTCCCTGCTCTGCAGGGAGTCTGCTTCTCCCCTCCGCTCATGCTCGCTCTCGCTCTCTCTCAAATAAATAAATAAACCCTTTAAAAAAAAAAAAAGCTGATAAGACCCCCCCCTACTTCAGAACCTACTGGATAATGTGCTATCAGTTACCAACTACCGATTTATTCAAGAACCTCTGTTCCACAATGCTGGGCTTAATGCTGATTGTTCCCTTTACCTGAAGTAATGAAATGGTACTTTTTTAGAGTTCTAGATGCAGGCTTGTCGGTAACTCGGACAGACTTTCGCCTGACTGGGTCTAAAGGGGTGAGATTTCACTATGAAATCCGTTCATGATCCTTAACAGCTGCCAGTGTGTGGTTTCTGGAAGGTGGGATGGGCAACAGCATCTATTCCTCATCTCAGGACGTGTTTTCCCGGAGGCACGACGGGCCCGCCACAGCGCACCCCCCACCCTGGAGCGGGAGCACCAGCAACAACGCTGAAAGTCACCTGCTCTGGCCGTGACCTGCACATCCCAGCACGGTCCCCTGCGTGGACCCCTCCGGCCCCCCGCGGCCGCTCTCCGAGCTCAGGCCTGGATTGGCATAATTTCCATCGGCCCCGACCTGCCTGTGCGCCCCCCATCCCATGCCCAGGCCCTGGCCCTCGTGTTCTGTGGGCTTCAGGGCAGGAGGGCGCGTGGACCTTCCTATCTGATCCATCATCCCCAGCTCATGCAGACAAAAAAAAAAAAAATCACAACAACCATGAACACGGACATGGCGACCAGGTTTCACCTGGACTCCAGGATGGGAGTTGTTCCGTCTTCGCCAAATGAACAAAATCTGACGTTTCAGACCCAAAACTGCCTCAAGCAAGGACCCGGGGCCTCTCCCTCACGGTCTGTTCTGGAAGGTGCTGAGGAGGGCCCCCCCTTGACCCACACCCCTTCTTCCTCCTCGATCCACAGCTGGGCGCAAGCGTCTCCTCAGGCCACTTGACACGCGGCGTCAGACCCGGAGTGTGGCCGAATGCCGAGGTCGAGCCTGCCCTCTGCCCTGACCCTCCTCCCGCTCCACGCTGTGCCAACGGCTTCCTGAGGGCCCCAGCTGAAGGCACGGCCACCGGGGTGGGCAGGAGCAGCCAGGGAAGGGAGACCCCCCCCCCCGCCCCAGCACACATCTCCATGGCAACCACACACATCGGCCGCCCAAGGAGCCGCGGAGAAAGGAGGGACTTAAACCGCACGAACGCCCCCAAGCCACACCCTGCATGCGTCCTTCTGGGAGAGCAACAAGGAGACCACTCGGCAGCGGGAAAAAGGATGCAGGGGAACAAAGACGTTTAGGAAGGGGGGCGGGCTCCGTGTTCACAACCGGCAAGCCCCACCGGAGCCACAGGCCATAAAAACCGTGGCACAAAGCAGTCGAGTCCTCTGTGACCGCTCAGACCCGCAGTCTGGAGGCTGCGGAGGTAAGGATGAGTTTGTGGCAGGTTTCATCAGAAAGGACAGAACATCATTTATACGCTATGATCCCAGCTCTAAAAACTGCGCGTACATTTGGACAAAACCTGGAAGGGAAAACGTACAAGTAAAAACACCTGTGCTGCAATCACATACTAGGACCCTGCCCCTAAACTACCCTCTGTGGTCTGTCCTGTTGTTCCCACAACTCAACAGAATGTTGTTGCTTCTTGTCAGGGGGCAGGGAAACGCATGGGGCCCTGGAGAACGTGCACCATCCACTGAGGCATGGGTTTGTCTGAGGAGCGGAACACCCTGCGGTCCTCCCAGGACACAGGGTGTGGGAGGCTGCAGGGAAGCCTCCGGAAGAGCATCTCCCACTAGCCCCCGCGGCTCCCCTGGGAGCTGTCGCAGGCCAGACGGGCTCTCATCGGAGGAGGTGGGCTCTCTGCCTGCCCCCAGCATAGCACCGAGTCTCAGCACTGGCTGCTGGCGTCCTATGACTCCCACCGCAGTCTTCTAGACCTTTTTGTTTCAGTGTCCTCCTTTTCGGTGTGTGGGACAAGGACCCAGGGGAGCTGGGTGCCCCTTTGGCATGTCCTAGACAGGACCCCGACATTCTGTTTCCATAAAGCAACAGTAACATCCAAGGAATGGGTGCGTACGTACAGAAATCTATTTCTCTGGTGGTGTAAGCTGGATCATTTTCATAATGAAACAGGAAAACAGAAAACACACACACCTATACGCTCACTAACAGATACACTCACCGACCAGGAAAATGGGGCTATGCAAAGCTAATTAGATCCAGGAGCCTTGGATTCTGGTGCTGGCCCCATTGCTAGGTCTTATCTTAAGAAATTCTCTTCCCCTCTCTGGGCCCTCATTTTTTTCCTTCTGACAACAAAGGAGGGAACGGGCCCGGCCCCAGAAGTGCTGTCTGCACGGCGCCTGTGTTCACAGAGACACACCTGAGGACCTGCCAGGCCAGGACATGGAGGGCCCAGGTGCCTCCTTCTGCTGAAGGGAGTTACAGGGCAGCAAGAAGTCAACGGAACAAAGGCACATTACTTCGAGTGCCCAACAGAAGCTGCTCAGACACCTGCCTGCGTCTCCAACTGCTCCCCACAAGCACAGAGGAAGCTGTGTGTTTACCCACAACAGGAGTGGTGCAGGCCCCTTGGGGAACAGGAATGTGCAGCACGCACTTTCGAATGGAGTCTCTGTCCTCATTCCTACAGCAGCTTTTGTTCTAGGGCCTGGCCTGCTGGCACCCACGCCCCAGAGAGTGTGGTTCACAGTCTACGTGACAGCATCGGGGCCTGCCGAATTCAAGACAAAGCCATTTCTTCCTGCTAGGAGAACAGGGAAGGCTTCCTGGAAGAGGAAGCCTTTGAACCGGGCCCTAATGGCTGGACAGAACTTAAATGTATGAAGTGAGCGGGGAGAGCAGATTCTAGGGGGCAGTGTGATCAGAGATATAGAGGCGGAAAAGAGAGTTCAGTTTGTGACAAATTATAGGAACCATTAGAACAAAAAGCAGAACACAAGGGCTTAGATGCTAGACCAAGAAACCCCCAACCAGCTGTGTTTTCCTTAAGTGTCTGTGTTTGTCATCCTTTGAAGATAAATTCAACCCATTATGGAACTGATAGTTAAGTCATGCGCCGACGGACTCACTGGTACTCCCCCTACCCCTGAAAAACTTTCTTAGTTCAAGTGGCAATTGCTCGCAATGAAAACCAGCTTCTACATAATATTTTCTTTTTCCCTGGAAAACAGCAGATATTGAGAAAGAGTTGCAGGAGCCAAAAAGGAAAGATAATTTTCTAGAAAGAGGAAGGATCACAACTCTTGCCCAGCTAAGACTCAGACAACATGGTCAAAGATTTAATGTCACTCATCAAGCTAAGGCGGGAACCAGTAAGACGTTACCACGGGGACAGTGCAAAGAACCCCAGCTATGAAGGCGCTGGAAGTGCTGAAGTGAGTGCACTTTTAGTTGAAGCAAAAGCAGTCTCCCCAGGGCCACAATCAGCTGTGTCTCCAGTAGGCACAGTGTGCGCTGTTAGGGACAAGCATCGCGTATGCTCTGCTCTCAGGACGGTACAACCCACGCAGATGGCTTGGCTCAGAGTCCAGGAGAAGCCAGGGACCCAGAGAAACTGACCCCCAGACAATGCCGACATGTCCGCTGAGGATGCTCAGCAGACTTCTGACCCATTTCAATTTCAAAGGCTTTTGCAATTTTCCCTACAAAGGTGAATACCGATCGGCGCACCAACCGTCAACTCTCGGGCACGCGTTTAGGGGAAATCGCAGTAAGGACCGAAGGAGGAGGCTTTGAACCCGGGCACAGGCCTCGCAGTCACCGCTGGGCAGGCTGGGGGGCAGCTCCACGCCCACCTCATTATCTTCACCCTGGGAATCAGGAGGCTCCCGGCTGTGCCACAAAACAGCGGAAAGCGAATCTCTCCCCGCTCCTTTCTCCAGAGGCGTCTACACTGAAGGGCTTGGCACTGAGCCGGGAGCTCAGGCCTGACCACACCCTGGAGTCACTTGAGGAGGTATGAACAGTACTCTTGCCCACTCTAGAAATTCCACCCCTAGAGCTTCCGATTCTGCTGGTCGGGGTGGACTGGGGCATCGCGGGCTCTTATCATAACCTCCGAGGGGATTCTAATGAACGGCCAGGCTCGAGAACCATGGGGCCAGATAACAAGACCCCTTGTCCCTGATGACACTCTGGCTTTGTTGTAATGTTTCCTTTGAACTGATAGCTGTGGCCTCAATCTAGAAATCAGCAGGACATTCTCCTAAAAAAGCTCCTTGAAATTAATCTTTGGGAGAGACCATAAGACAAGCTCAATTCCCGACTCAGTCAGACTCGGCAAACATCCGGCTACGTGTTAGAATCTTCCACGGTGGTTGCCGTCAATTCAACGAGCAGTTTGCAGGGCTGAGCACAGGCTGAGCTCAGGCTCCTGATTTGCTGCTTTAGTTACTGCGTGTGTACGGGATAGAGATGCCCGTCGGGGGTGCTCACAGGCCCGGACAGCTCTGTGGTGTGCACACACGGGCATTCATGCACGCACTCACACTTCACACGCACAGAGCAGCCTCCAAATCAGAGCGGGGTCACAGAGTGATAACAGGGCCCCCGTTAGTAACGCTGGGTTGGCTGGTCCCACGGTGGGGGAGGTAACTGACAATAGGACAGATGGTGGTGAATGCCAATGCTCTCCCCCCCACAACCCCTCTGAGACCTTGGATACGCATTAACAAACCTGATGTTGTTACAGTTTGCTTTGAACCCACTCAACTCATTACCAAGGTCGGCCCCAGACAATCGCTGATCCTCTGGTCAGTCCCCTTCCTCTGAAGGGCCCTGTGCTGCGACTCTAAAGGACACGGACCTGCCCTGCTGTGGGACCACGGGAGGCCTGGGTCAAGTGTCTCCAGGAAGGATGCTCTTCCCTGTCTTCCCTTTCTCGGTCCCCAAGTTCCTCGACCCCCCCGCCCCCCGCCCCGAGCCTCCACACACACTTACTGCAGGCCGCACAGGTGAAGCATGCGTCGTGGTAGAGATTCCCCATGGCCTGGCAGGCCTGGCCGGCCCCAAACACCCCTTTGCTGCATTTCACACAGGCTCCTGAAAGGCAAGAACATGCCAGTGAGTCATAAAAAAGCCAATGAACAAAGTGAGATGCCTATCCCTTCCCATAACCAGCCCATCACCAAAACCTGTGGAGCTTTCCTTTGAGATCTCTCTCTCTCTCTCCACCAGGCCGGCCTTCAGGCCCCACCCCCACCCCCCACCACTGTCCTCCGCACCAGCATGATATTCAGAAAATCTTTGCCTTGTCAGCCTACTTCCCAGCCCAAAGCCTTTCAAAGGCTCCCACCATTTATCAGACAACGTCCAAAAAACTGCCCTGTGATTCTAATATGCCAAACACGCAGGTCAGGCAATTTCAACATCATTTCCTTCAATTCTCAAAGGGAACCAATTGGGTTGACTATCCTCACTTTTTGCAAAAGTATCAGGCCCCCAGCCCCAGGTATGTCAGACCGCAAAGACAGTGCTCTTCCCTGCCCCTCACCTCCACACAAGCCCCCCTGGTGCCCGGCTCTTAGCCTTTGCTCACGGGCTCCCCAGCCGGGCACCCTACACCCACCCTTTGTCCCTTCAAGTCCCCAGGCCTCCCTCCCGCTCCACTCTCCAGCTCTGAAGACAACGTGATGGAACAGGCTCTAACCTTTAGCCTCCCACCCACCCGCTTCCCACGTGGCATGAGTTAACCTGGTAACTTCTCTGAGCATCAGTTCTCAATTCGGAAAACGAGTTTCATTCCACCTGCCCTGCATGTTCCCAGGAGCGGCTGTAAAGGGTGCTCAGCAAACCACCAACTTCCAGAATTGGTTGCCTCCGCCCCAAACTGCCGATCGGAGGGCCCGCTCTTGAACTAGAACGCCACAATCTGCTGGCTATGTGACTAGGGCAGATCATCGGAACTCCCTGCTGTCCAGCGTTTCATCTGTGAGATGGGATGATGGCAGCCCCTCGCAGGGTTCCCGGGAGAGAACCCACCCCGAGCGCGCCGTACAACGCCCTTCACTCAGTAAGCGCTCAATGAGCAGGCACACACAGACATGGATGCAACGGTGCTGCTACATTTGGCTAGAAGGTGCTTCCACTGGGCTCCAGAAGAAGTTCGGGCCCTCCCAGGATCGGACCCTGTGAGTAAGCTGGAAGTCCCTCTGTCCAGACCAACCCAGAATCTCTGCGGCAGTGAACCAGGCTCTGGGCCAGTCCACAGAAAGGAGGGCCTTGGGGCCTCCCTTCCAAAGAACTCCTCCATTAGCCTTAAATGAAAAACATCACTATTATAGAAATGATGCATGAGATTAAAAAAAAAAATTCAGGGAGTAAATATACCAAAATATGGAGTGGTTTCTTAAGGTTATAAAATTATGGTTGGTTTTACTTCTTTGCATTTTCTCTATTAAAAAAAAAATTCTTACAAGAGCAGGTGTTACTTTATAGCTGAAAAAAAAAGTCTAGTGTCAAAAAAGCATCTGAATATGCTTAAATATATTGTATAACATTAAGATTTTTGAACACACACACACTAGCTTCCCCCCAGTGTCCAGCGGGTAACCAGCTTGCGTTCTTGGTCAGAGGGGGCTCAGGCACCCTCTTCTAACTCTGGTTCCCATGGGTCAGGCTGTTCTCAGGCTGCAAATCCCCAGCCTTCTGCCTACAGGGTAGGAAGCCCTGTGTTTCAGAGTTCTATCGATTCAAGGTGATGGACTGAATCACCCTCAAGGAGGTCCAAGCTAACACCTGGTTTGTGAAATGCACCCACACTGACCACACCAGCCTCGCAGACAGCACACGAAGCCAAGGGCCCTAAATTTGCTTCACCAACACTCCCTGGGAAAGTAGGTGAGGCCGTCTGTACGAAGAGTTGGGTGTCAGCCCGGAAACCTAGCTGTCTTAGGAATTCATTTATGGAAAGCTCTAGAGAACAGAAGTAGTAGTTATTGCATTTCTTCTGATTCAGCATTTTATTATGAAATGTTCAAACAAGAAGAGAGGTTGAATCATATAGGAGAAAGACCCATATTCCCCCCACCCCCATTCTTCAATCATGAACATTCTGCTGTCAATCAATCCAACAACCCATCTTAGCTTTGATGCATTTTAAAGCAAGGTGCAAACAGCAGTCCACCTCATCCCTAAGCATGTCAGCCTGTAAATCATTAAGAGTTCATGATTTGCTTATAGTTATTTTTTCCAAGATAAAAATCCATAAACAGTGAAATGCACAAACGGTAAGTCTACCATCCAATGAGTTTTGACAGATGACCTATGTAATGCAAACCCCAAGCAAGATACGGAATATTTCCAGCACCCTAGAAAATTCCCCAGGGCCCTTCCCTTCTATCTTCAGCACATGTGATAATGAAGAAAAATGCTCTCTCCCAAAATATCAACTCCCAGGAACTGGCAAGGTATTAATCATACCATTCTGAGATCCACTTCCAGACCACCCATCCCAAGCCCCCTGACTGACCTGACTCCAGATCCTACAACAAGCAACAAACACTGCTTTCTTCAGGCAGCAACCGGAGTACAAAGGAGACCATCCCTAGACTGGATGGGACATCAAAGCAACACGGCTCTAATTCTGCTCACGAACCATCCCCGAGGCACATCACCCTTTCCCTGTCCATCACGGTGGCCTCTTGGCTTAACCCACTGTCGCGATGTTAGCTGCAGACAGTGGAGGAGCCGGGAGACCCCTCGGTGTAGGCAGCCCTTCCTCCTGTCCACGGGGCGGGTGTGGGACGAGGGGCGGCCTTCAAGACGGGGCACCAAAGAGGAAAGGCAAGATTCATCTGCTGAGTCCCTGGGATGCTGCCGACTCACGATGAGGACGTGGGCTCCTCTTGTTTGGGTCCGGGGAAATAAAGTCAGACCCCTCTGCCGTTCCCCGCTCGGAAAGCATCACCAAGTGGCCAAGGACAAGTGCATGGGCCTCTCGGGGCTTCCTGCGACTTTCCCGCCACACGCATGCCAGGCCTTCCTTGCGGCCTGCCCAGCAACGCTCTCCTCTGGTTTCCTGTCCACCTGAGGGCTCTGACCCCCCCCCACCCCCTGCCTGACTCGGACTCCTGCAGCCCACGTCCTCCGACCGCCCAGCAGGGGAAAAAGCGAGGAAGGAAGCTGCTTGTGCTCCCAGCCGTCGGTCACGGAGCGAGGAAGGACCCGTGAGAAGCCAAGTAAGTAGAAAAGTATTTCATCCTTGGGCCTTGTGGTACATGGATAGAAAAGTACTTCACGGGCAGGAAATGTGTCTAGTCTTCCTTTGGGAGGAAAAAAGAAAAAAAAAGAAATTTAATATTCTAAGGAATAACGCACCCACCCGACCCCACGCTGGGAGTTTCCATCCAGCAAAGGATCTGCTGTCACCCCGTTCTCAGACCCAAGTTCTCGAAAGGCACTGTAACTTGCTGAAGGGCACACGGCTGGTAGGTGTGCGAGGTGGAGTTCAAGCCCAGGTTCTAACACAAAGGTTCCGTTATCCCTGTCGGGCTGGCCACTGTGGCGGTTCCTGCCACACGCAGAGGGTGTCCTTCCTCACGTTCAACACACCACCTGCTCGGGGATTCGGACCCAAGCCCAGCCCTGCCCCAGAGCTCCCACTGACCGCCCCGGCCCACCTCCCATTCTGCCCTATCCCTGGCACACAGGTTGTGTTCCCACCTGGGACCCCAACCACGGTCCCTCCTGCCCTCCTGGAGGGACACCCACCCCACAGAGGCTTCTCTGTCACTCGCTCAGAACCAGGCTCCGTCTAGATGCTGGCCATGGGACGGGGAGCAAGGTGACTGCCCTTGGGGAATGGTCAGCCAAGGACGCAGGAAACTGGAATCTGCCACCTCTGACAGGAGAGCTGACTGACCTCACCTGTGGTCCTACACTGAGTTCACTAAGTGCCCAGGGCTGGGGATGGACTCCGGCTTATGAAATAAGAAGAAACATATACATTGGCCTCTGTCCCCAGTTCCTTTCAATATTTGGTCTTCGACCCCAGTTCCCGACACAATCCCTTGGAATTTCCTGGTGACAGGAGCGTCCTGGATGGGGGCTAGTCACTAGGAAGACCAAGCCATGATTCGAAGCTTGGAACTTTCGCCCCCACCCCCATCCTTCAGAGAGGAGAGAGGGGCTGGAAAAGAAGTTAATGATCCATCACGCCTACAGGAAGCTGCCATAAGAATCCCCAAAGCACGGGGTTCAGAGAGCTTCTGGGTTGGTACATGCATCCACGTGCCGGGAGGGTGGCAGCCCCCCAACTGCACAGGGCAGAAGCTCCTGTGCTCGGGACCCTCCCAGACCTCGCCCTAGGCAGCCCTTCATCCAGCTGTTCTTCTTTATCCTTTAGCACATGCTTTATTGTAAAATAAGCTGGCAGACATGTGTCCCTGAGTTCCATGAGCTGTCCTAACGAACGATGGAGCACAAGGAGAGGGCCGTGGGGACTCTGACTTACAGGCGGCCGGTCAGAAGCACAGGTGACCACCTGGACTTGTGGTGGCAGCCGATGTGAAGGCAGTCTTGTGGACTGAGCCCTGGGTCTATGGGGGCTGTGCTACCCACAGGTAGAGAGTGTCAGAACTGAATGGGATCTTGGGACAGCCTGCTGGTGTCGGAGAGGTGATGGGTGTGGGAAAGCCCCCACATCTGGTGTTGGCCCACTGTGAGCGCGAGCAGCAGCAGGTTCAGAGAAGAGACAGAAGTGGGTCCTTGCAAGGCAGGGCTCAGCAAGGAGAAAAGGTTACTCGACCCCTCTGCTTTCACGTGGCCCCTTAGCTATAGGATTTTATTTTATTTTTTTAAAGATTTTATTTATTTATCTGACAGATAGAGACATAGCGAGAGAGGGAACACAGCAGGGGGAGTGGGAGAGGGAGAAGCAGGCTTCCTGCCGAGCAGGGAGCCCGATGTGGGGCTCGATCCCAGGACCCTGGGATCATGACCTGAGCCGAAGGCAGATGCTTAATGACTGAGCCACCCAGGCGCCCCAGCTAGAGGATTTTAGAGAAATGTCTAACAGAGGAAAAGGAAGAAAAATGTCATCA